TATGAAGATATTTCAGTCACTCTAGGCTGCCAGCATTTGAACAAACTTCCTTCCGACTGCCTTTAAAAATGATATTCGGAAAAATGAAGACTTAAGTAGTAGTAGGACATTTTCCACTGATTTTCCATATCCTTTGAAATGCAAATTTACTGTTAAAAATATGGAAAGATATTCTTCCCTGTATTTATTTGGTAGAAAATGATATCTTCGTCAAAATTTCATACTAAAAGGGAGGTTATTTTTCGGTAAATGAACTTGCATTTGCAATTTCTAAACTAAATTATGTCTAAAAAGCACCCATTTCTGTACACATTGAAGATAACGTCACATGATGTTAATAAATTTAATAATTGATGTGGATTTGTTATACACTTCATACGCAGCATCAGTAAATGGCCAGATGGGATGCTTTATGACGCGGCATTTAACGGCTTAAAAAAATTTTATAATTGGAAACTAGTTTAAAATCTAAAGATACTCCTTCTTTTAGCATACAATTTGAAGAAGGCATGCTTTTCTACCAAACGAGTACAAGAAAAAACTCTTTCGACCCAAAGCCGGCATCCTGACATGACTGAACTATCTTGAGATTTGGCTACACGATAATTAATAGTACAATCCTGTTTCAGTAATGTCTTTGAACCGAAACCACTACAGAATTTCCGTTGAAATTTCACGAAATAGCAAATTGACTGTTTAATCGGCAGCAATTTAAATACTGCGCAGTTTGAAAAGTCCTGGTTCCCTTTTTAGCGTCCCGACTCTTTAATAGCAAGCCTAGTAAGCTGTCTGGCATAACGGCAATGCTGAAAGGCTAATGTCCCTAGATCAGCATCCAGCCAACAGATGGGGAAAAAGCAAAGCTATCGGACGTTAACTGAATTAGAGAAAAGTAGGCATGCGAACCATCATTTCGCCTACACCGACTGCTATGAAGCAAACTAGAAATACAATACCGTAGCCCAATCTGGAACACAATCTCTTCTTTACTGCTTTCCAGTTGCTTTTTCCAGCTTTACTTAGAAACAGACCTGGTCATTTTTAAACGTATCCTCCAACTGCTCTCTTCAGCTGCCACTGTTTCTTGTGTTTTGTAGCTGACATTATAATATAGCGGCACTTTAAAACAGTCAATAAATTTTGCTGATCGCATCCTTAGTGAAGTCGCTCACCCTCTCCACTCTGAAGTAACGGCTGCAAAGCCTTCCTGTACTATGCGCCGAAGCTTCCGTAATATGTTTTGCCGTACATCAACGTATCAGCACTCTGTACTCCCATTCCTAACACGCTACCTCGGTGGGAAGAAACGGAAACTGAGAAGTTGAAAGTCGACCTGTCTCCATAACAGATGTGAATAAACCTTTAACTTGGAGTATTCTATGACCTTATACCTTACCTTATCCCTTGCTCTCCATGAGTGGAGCAATTTTTGCTGAACATTTTGGAGATTACCTTCAAAATAAAGCACCTCTCCCTCTATCTTCCTGCTTCTGGTGTTATTAGCTGCTGCACTTAGGGTTCTGAGCCGGACTTCTGGTCAAAATTAGGGACAGACTAACACTAGGCAAAACCTTCCATGGCAGTGAGCTAGCAGATCTTTCTTCTACCAGGCCTTAATGAGAAGAGGTTAATCTACACAATGATTCACATTAAAACCTGTTTGAAGCACACATATTACCTGGGAAATGGCGTCTCATGTGGACTGACCAATCGGTGGGGGAATGGAAGCAGTGGTAATCACCAGGCGCAAGGTAGATGGTGCAGTGGTAGAGCGATAACCTCCGCTCCGGCTCTGG